AATGATTCTATGATTCTATGAAAATAAACCAGGAGAGTGAAATGGTGGCAAAAGCACAGCTGCTCTTCTCTACCTGTTACATCCTAAACTAACAGTTGGATCATCAAGAGACAGGTACTGCATGCTTGCACTTGTGCTGCAGTGGAAACAGAGGCCACCAGCAACATCACAGCTGATGTTTGAGGCTTTGCTAAGGAGTTAGTAGGAATTTAAGTTACTATTAACTTGAAATATGGTGGAGCTCATGAAGACAGGTGTCTCTGCTACGCTGCTCTTAGAAACAGGCAGGAGTGCATATACTTTGACATTAGGAAATTTTCAAGCAGAGAGATATTTAATTAATTTATGATCCAGATAGACTGGATCACTGAATGAGACTTAAAGCCCCTGAGTGTCATACAGCAGTTTTTACATTAACAAGGAAGCCCACTGTGAACAGAATGGAGACTAAACTGTTTATTATATATTTGCTAAGGGATATTTATCATGCAGCTTCTATCTCTTCAATAAACTCTTCAAACTTTCCTCTGTTGCTGCTGTTATTTATTCTAGTTGTTTACCTTGTAGTGTTGAAGAGGCCAAATATCACTGGATTTTTGTTATCACGAGTTTGCAGCAAAAACACATCCTCTGTAAAATTTAAGTAGAATGTTATGGGTAGCAAACTACTTTTCTCATCCCCAAAAGAGAAACTTAATTGCCTGTTAAAAGTGCAATCTTATTTTACTCATATATACTATTTAATTTTATTCAGATTTTGAAGGCAATCTTTAAAAACAATGCAACATGTAAAAGCATAATTGATGATAGTCTACTCCATATGTATAGAAGCATAATTGATGATAGTCTACTCCATATGTATAGAAGTTCATATACCTAGAAACAAAACACTAACAACCATTCTGTGTTAACGAATTCAATATCTGACAGTAAGATGTGTTATGAAAGTATATGTTTGTATGATGGTTTTAAGTTTGCTGGAGTCTGGGATACTTACCTAATTCATCAAAATATGTATCAATTCCATTTCTTCCAGGCACAGAGCAAACTAGCCTGGTTTTGAGGAAAGTGCTCCATTTATTCACGAGCATTCTCTGGCCTCCCATGTCATTCTGCATAGAAAGAAACAAATGCTGATTGTAATTTGAATGAGTAAGTCTAGAAGCACAAACATCTCTGCTGAATTAGCTGCTCATTGTATCTTTTAATGCTGAAAGCATGCATTTTCAAACCACATGTCTATTACTAGTATTATTTCTCTGGAGTCAGTTTTCAAGTAGGATTGCACTGATTAAGCCCAGGTCTCATTAAGGGCTGTGGGTTTGGAAGAATTTTTTAATTTTGTATTGCATCCATGGATAGTTTTAACTATACAGCTGTTGTAAAGCTCTTTTATTTCTCATTTTTCTTAACTGAATGTACTGAGTACATTAGCAAAGTTTAGCTTTGCTTTAGGAGCTCAGGGCTGGATTAGATCAATGCATTTGGAAACTGAAGCCCTAGATCTATCCATAGAGCTGGAACAGCTGGGGCAAGTCTGAGGCAAGTGCCTACATGGAGTTCTAACAATTTTTCGATAACTTTAAGTAATTCCTGTTTTGCTATGGCTGTCTCATCTTTTCCTTGCTATTGTGATGATTGGACTGTCAAGAAAAGTAGCCATTTAGTACTACTCAGTAATCAGATTCTATAACCTTTAGGTAGTGTTCTCAAAGCAGTGATCTTATATTCAGGTAGATTGTGTAACTGACTTTTGAAGGCTGTGTATCAGGCTGCAAAGCCCATCTCACAGCTTCATTCTAAGCTATTGAAATAAGTTGATTTCTTCACCTTCTCACTGAGTTCTTACAAAAATAGAGATGTTTTACTCAGAAAAGCAGAAATATACAGTGTAGGTGCCTCTGTATTGCAAAACCTGTTATAGCCCAGATGAAAATGTAACAGCTTAGGAAAAAAAAAAAAAAGCCAGTTCTTGAATCATACAACTATTTTTTTGTATTTATTAAATTAAATTTGAATTATAGCATACGACTGTGAAGTTAATGTCCAGATGATAAAGGATTTGGAGTTTTGGACAAGTGCAAGAGAGATAGATCTGTGGGATTTTGTTCTAATCCATGGCTAGAGATAAGACATACAGGTGGATATATTTCAGACTAGAGGGATCTATTAAAATAATCTATTCAGACATCTACCAGAACACAGGCCAAAGAATTCTGCTTCAGATCTTGATTCAGGCTTGAATTCAGAAAGCCAACTGGCTTTGTGAACATTAATGTCAGGCTGCAGTTTGGTACTTTGCATACTTCAGATGTTTTAAGTTATACAGGAGTCCTCAAGAAATTTTAAGAGGTAGTATACTGGTGAACATATGTGACATATACTATACATTGAGATGACAGAAAATTTTAAACTTGCATCTTGTTTGTTGTCCAAAAGTTTCAGGAATGTATCCCTTACAGTTGGGAGCGGGAATGCAATTTTTTTCTTAAACCAAATCAGATGATAAGAAATTTCTTATTCCTTCCTTTAACTGAGCAGATGCAGTCCCAATGGGAAAGCTCCTCTTGTCAGCTTTATCATAGTTCAATTAGTAGAAAAGGAATTTATCCAAACTCCACCTATTTTTCAGAGAAGACAAATTATGGGCAGCTTGATTTGGGAGCCCATGTTAAAGTGCTTCTCTCCAGCAACTGCCTGAGATCTCCTTTCTGTGTGTGGGGCCAGGGAGCCCAAAAGAAATGGGATCAATACACTAGGACTGTGGCCTCAGTGGGAAATAGATAATTGTGCAGGGCAGTGGATAGAAACAAAGTCTTTCCTAGTGACTTTTCTGCTCTTTCTCATAAACCTTATGTCTGGCTGCAATAAAAATTTGCTGGACAATTCAGTCCTTTATTCTAGTTTATTATCTGTACAATTTTAATTGCTCTTGGAAAGAAGATAAATGAGAGATTAAATTAAAATCACCTGTTATTTATAAAGCACTCTATAGGTGGCTAACGTTGCACCCCTCCTACTGTTCATATATCAGGAAAAGGTTTTCAAAACTTACAGAATCAGAGAAGAGTTGAATTCAGCAGAGACCTTTAAATACCATCTAGTCCAACTGCTCTGCTTAAAGTAAACTGCCTTGAGGATGTTGCTCAACAATTACCCAGGTCTGTGTCCAGTCAGGTTTTGAATATCTCCAAGGCTGGAGATTCTAGGCAACCTGAGTCAGCCTTCAACCACCTTCTCAGTGAAAAAATGTTTTCTTACATTCAGGTGGAATTTCATGTGTTTCCGTGTGTGCCTATTTCCCCTTGTCCTACCCAGCTGTCTGATAGCATAGCCATTGATGCTGCACAAATCCAAGTGAGTTAAGTCTGCTCCTTGCTGACAGAATAGGAAGGCAAGAAGGAATGTCAGAGAGGACTGGTGGCTGGGCTGGTCCTGCAACCAGGAATGTGAGAGGACATTAAATTACGTCAGCTATGAGAGCTGTAAGAGGCCCTGGACTTACAGTCAATAGTAAGGGTGATGAAGCCTTGATCTGAATTGAGACCATGGATGGTAAGATAGTCCTGTGGGCAGCAGCTATTAGGGTTACCACATATCAGCACAAAGAGAGAGAGAGAGTTGAACAGCGAGATTTCTGAACTTTGTCCTCCTCTCTCAGCAAATTCGGCTTCAAGCCCAGATTTTGGATTGCTTTTAAATTTTCTAATGCTTGAGGCTGTTTTGATGTAAGGGTTTCACTCAGACTTATAACTTACCCTCACATACATTAACAGATGCCATATTTGCCTGGGGGAGAAGGACGAAAGAAAGGAGCATGCTTTTTATTTCCTTTCACTCGAGAATCAGAAAAAGAATCTTACCGCACATACACGTCCCACTCTGGTGTATATGGCATGAGTACTTGTCTCAGCCTCTAATGCTTTTTCAGTAAAGAAGAAATATACTTTGTTATCATCATGGTCTTCATTGTCAGGAATCATGTATGAGCCAACAAATTTTGGTTCTTTAAAAGAAAACAAAAATTAATTGAATTTACGTTTATTAAATCATTCTCTTATTTTTTTTAATCTTTAAAATCAGGTGGTAGCAAAGAAAAAAAAAATTAAAGAATCAGGAAATCTGTCAGTCAGTTACCTAATAGGAATAGTGTGATGGAAATAGCATTTTTTTTTTTTGGTAGGCAATTATCTATAGAAAATGTGGGATATCTTAATGTCAGACTATTTTTATAGCTTCAGTTTGCAATTTACAAATCAATATTCCTTTGTAAGCGTACAACAAAAAGGCATTTTTCCAGCCTGGCCTTTCCTTCTCCAGCATTTATTTTAATTTGGATTAGGCTAAAACTTGGCACTAATATTCATATAACAATCTCTGATCCCATACAAACCAGGTGTAGAAATGTCAGCTTTGGACAAACAGCCGTTTAGACAAAGAAAAATCTCTGGCAGTTCAGCCAATAGATGTTAGATGAACATATATCTTCATAGACAGAAGATATATTGAGTACCTTTGCAATGAAATAAAAACCTTCTAAAAGATTTCTGTTTTGATATTTTTCTGCAAAGTTCAAACCTAAGTTTGGACTTCAGTCCATGCCTGTATACCTTTTAACTCCACACCAAACAAAGCTGCAAATTATTTCGTGTTGCTGAATTGAAGCAAAAGTTTTAGAAGTTCTTTAAATGAGAATGTCACTCATACAATTAGAAGTATTTCTGAAGAAACAGTGGGTGATATAGATATTTTCTAACTTTCTGTTCTCTACGAAAACAGCCACTGCATTTTAAGACATTGACACAGAACTTGGTAATTTTCTGAACTGCTTATAATATATGTTTAAAAATATTCTGTTTCTGCAAACTGAAATTTCAAGTACAGACAAAATGAAAAGTAAAGATTGAGGCCATAATTTAGAGGCTTCTCTATTTAAAATGGAAAATATAGAGAAATTTTTAAAATACTGAAAATTCCAGAAAGAAGAGAAACACTTCATATTGTGAACGTTCACCTGGTGGTTTGTACCCATATAAAGCCAATCTCAGTTGAATCTCAGTTCAGCAGAGCTTTAAGTATGGGCTTAAGGCAGATGTAAGAATGTTCTAAACATTTAAAACAAACAAACAAACAAACAAAACTCCCAAACTTATTTAATTCAAGTCTTAGGCCAGATTTGTGTAGGAAGAATTATGCAGCAGAGCTATTTTCTCTCTTCTGACTCAAGAGAAATCTGGCTTGAATTTTGAGAGCAAAAACTTCTGTCCTTTCACTGAAAAGAAGATACTCACCATATGAATCACCCCAAAAAGCAATTATCTCCTTGCTGAACATAGCAGTAATTATCTCACTGTTATGATAGAATATTGCAATAGTTTTGTACCAAAATAAATCAGGATTCTGACTTTCCATTTCACAGAAATAACACCACTTTGAAATGCAGTTGCATTTCACATTGTAGAGTATGAAACAATTTCTAAACGTAGCGTATGATTTTCTTCAGTGTTTGTCTTGTAGAATATTTTAAATTTCTTCTTTATAAAAAACTGCTTTAACTTTTTAATTACCTGTATGTTCATCGTATTTTTAGTATTTTGCATTGTTGTATGACATCTCTTTACTACACAATTTGGCAAAGATTGAGTTGTTTTCCTACAGCATAAATAAAATTATCTCACCTGGACAAAATTATGTTCTAATTAGAAGCCCCCATTAAACAGACAATTTAAAATATTATTTTAATTTTCTCTGGCATATCATGAAATAATATACAACATTCAAAGTATAAAATAAAAGCAATTTGATAAGCGAGAAAAGAGACGTTTAAATGTTCCTCTTGTTAAATCCAATATGTAATCAAAGTAAAGATTTTAATTTCTTAATCTTGGTCAGGGGTTCATGAAAAACTTTCAGGGGGAAAAGACAGTTTGAACAAACTCATATCCAAATGGATACACATATGCATGAACAATAGCTGGAAATATATGTCTAGTCACCCGAATCACCCTTGGTTCTTTCTCCTCATACCTTTCAAGAGGCGCTCACTGTCAGGTTCAGTTCGGAGATGGGCCATGCGGTTCATAGTGCGAAACAGAGCAGCATCCCTCCCCCAGTAGTCACTGTACAGGCCAGTAAAAAGTTCACCACCTACAGACCATACAGAAAAAAAAATAAAATTTGGTAATAAGCTACATATTAATGTCATTGCATATGCTAGGAACTACGTTGTAAACATGGCTCATTGGTAATTGCTCAAATTGAGGTAAAAAGGCGAGTCAGTAAGTTACATATAGTCTAAAGAGCACACGGGCATTGTTCTTACCAGCACTGCAACACTGACAGTTGGAACAGCACGAGGACAAGAATTTTACATTTCATTCACAGTCTCATTTTCAAAACTGACTTCATAACTTTCGGATAGATTCACACACAAAACGTGCAGGCTTTACATGAACATCTAACCACATCTGCCACAACAGCTTCTGTCGCATCAGGCACTTCAGTTCAAAGATCCATCTGTCATCCAGTTAGTGCCTGGTCCTAGAGACACTTATCCTTTGTCAGCACCTAGATTTGCACCAGTGCAAAGACTTTGACCAGTGATTTGCTTCTGAGCACTTCCAGATGTGCCCTGGTCTTGCTAATGAGAAGTAACAAATTGCTTGGTCCCACATCTGGAAGGGACACATTGGGTTATGTTAGGTTTGTGAGGAGCCACAAATGGGATAAAAAAGCAGCAGCAGGTGGCAGAGGGTGCAGTGCTAAGGAAAAGAAGTGGTAGCTGCATTAAAACACCGATTTGGGCTACACTTGATGAATCCAGCTCAAAGCTAAATCATACCCGAATACACATATTGGATCTCAAGCAGGAAAAGGTTTCCTGAGCACAGTTATCAGATTTGGCTGTGTGCAGAACATGGCTGAATAAAAGGTTAATTAAGGAAAAATGCTGAAAACACTGGAGGGTTGGATGTCATTCTCTCTCCAGCTGGAGAGAGAAAAGCAGTACCTGTTACCTCAGAAGTGATTTCTATAAACAAGCAAAAACTTTATTAGGTGAAGGGGGTTCTCCAGTCAGCCTACTGGAGCTGTTCCACTTTACCTGAAATAACTGCTGCTTGGGTGCAGCTTGCTGGCTCAGAGGCTTAGCTATTCAGTGGCCAGAGAAAAATGGTTTACTCTGGTCCAGCAATAACTTGTTTTCACTAAAATATACATCAGAGTATGGATAGGTCCTGAGATCTTGTCTATCCTGAACAACTGATGATGAATGCTTCCTGAAAAGTTTATGGGAGCAGAAATTTTATCCCATTTTCAAAGGGTTTAGGTGACATTTGCAAATTAAGCAAGCGTGGGGAAAGACTAGAAATAATATGCTGATTGCCAAAAACTTTGGAAAAACCTATATGTATTTGTGTACAACATATGTACATATGTTAAAAAATCCAGCCTATCTCTCTGACCTACCTAAAATTGTGGTATATGATTTATGTTACTTTAGTGAAAAATCAGCAATAATTATACGTCTTAGCTATGCATGAATGCAATTCCCTTTAACTAGACAAGCATTAAGAATAACATGTATCATATTGATGTGGACTTAGATTAGAAGTCTTTTAGGTCCAATTTCAGAAGCAGACAGTTGTTGTCACTAGGTGGCATCCTTATGTCAGAAAATAACACTGCAGGATTAACACAGCAAAATAAATTATTTCCAGTTCGTGGCTAAACTGAGTGTAGGTTTCAGTGATACGGCTTCCTACCTCCTAAACAAAATAAACATCACTGACCCATTTAAATAACTTTTGCTGGCATTTATAATGGATTATAAGAAAAGCAAAAATTTTTCTTGTTTGTCTCCCTCAAAGTTTGATTTTTGTTTCTCTTAAGAGAGATACATGAATTGAATGGTACTGTAAGTCTGAATAATGATTCTGAAAAGTTTATTGTTTGGCAGCTGGGTCTGGTTCAGAGACCTCTGCTGATTTGGAGCTGAGTACATTTTTGCCTTAGGCTTCACCATATGAAGACCAGATATTGTCTTGCAAATTACATGGTCATGATTCAGTGTAAAAACCTGGCAAGTGAAATTAAAAGTGAGTATAAATTACAGCATCAGTAGAAGTTAAGGTTACCCAAAACTAACAGAGAGCTTTATTTTTTAAATAGCACAGAGCTGCTTAAACAACAGAATTTTCCAAAGTCTAAATAACTTTATAAATTATCTTCACAACCCTAATTAATGTTACATCAGTCATAAATCTTCCTTTTAAGAATTTTATTGAAAAAATATCTCAGACCAGCTGGTTTGTTGTTTTGGTTTGTTTTTTTTTTTTTGTTTTGGTGTTTTTGTTTTTTTTTTTTGCTGTTGTTGTTTTAATTATGGTGATATGTCATACTAAATATGATGGGTTTATCCTTTCAACACTGTAGTGAATCTTGGAAAAAGCTTCAGTGGAAGGTAGGTGATTTGTCATGTGTTCCTAGTGATAAGAATGGACATTTCTGAGTCTGGATATTCAGAAGTTTGGGTGTGAAGCCTATTCCTCTGCATGATATACGTATAAAATGTTAATATTTGTAATTAACCTGCTGATACGTCATTCTACCATATACCAAAGAAGTTATCACTAATTTAATCTGTGAGATCCTGGTGGGAGAAAATAGAAGTTACAGTCTTGGATGGCTATAGTTCCACAAAAGATACTGTACAGATACAGAAATTAAACCATTTTTTTTTACCCTGAAGTGTTACAAAACTAAACATAAGAGAAGTATCAAGTGTGAGTAAACAGATCACCTCACCTAAGGAAAGTGATGAGACAATACTGATGTGTGTGAGTGGCAGAGATCTCAGCACAAGTACATTCAACATAATTCTGAGATCTTTCGCACTTTTGACTGTAAGAGGATCTTCTTCCTCTTCAAGATTCTTTTGCACATACTTTGAATTGACATTATAAATTTTGAACGCTGTTAGGTTTTTACAGGTGCTGACTAATTCTAGATTTAGAGATAACTTGAGGCTGAGGTTTGAAAAATTCTAGCAAGACTTCTCCTCTTTTCTCCTCCATTAAAAAGCTGCTACTACATATCAACTTACTCCTGTCTTTGTTGTAGGGTTTTTTTACTGCTGTATATCACACTGGTAGGCCAGTACCTTCCAGTGAAAGTCAGCTGAGCAATTTCACAGACCTTCATCGTGCCTCCCTTCTCCCAGTCTAACCTCAGCTTTACATGTATTTGATAAATTAATTGCTAAAATTTAAGTTTTAACACAGCCTGATTAATCCCGCTAAAGCAAGAACAGAAACTTTCTTCTGTCTTTATTTAAACAAAGAGAAAAAAATCCCATGGACATCAGAAAACAGTTTTAGCCCAAATGATACATGCATACTTTATAGTTAGCATTATTTTCAAACAAAAAAATACATCAGAGTTCAGTTGGGACCATTTAAAAGATACCTGCATTTTTTGCTCTTTTTTTCCAGAGGAAACTATGAACAAAGCCAAATACAGACTTCTTCTTCTAAACCAAAGAATTCCTAGATGCCATCTCTTAAAGTAAAACAGACCAATGCATGCAATTTAATTTTTAAAACTTAATATATACAAGGGATTCCTATAAATAGGAATTCCACCTTCAAAGTGCATTTGCTTCATTTGTTCTTGGTGTGTTTTGTGAACCTGCTTTAAATAGGAAGGTAATGCAAACATAAGCTATTGTTTGTGTAAAATCCCCATTATATCACTTTCTACAAAGTGGACTGGCTCTGTTTTGAGTAAAGGAGTAGAACACAAGCAGCACCTTTCATGCATTTCTTTGACTGTCATCCACTTATTACTCACATGACAACTAAAATCAGAATATGAAAACACATTTTTTTACAAGTGATAATTTTTGCAGTAGGGAAGAAAGCAAATCAAATGAAATTAGATGTTGCTTAGCTGGTAAACTTCTTCTGCATATTTGCATTTTCTGTCTGTCACTCAAATATTCTGTCTTCTGTTTTGAGAAAAAAACTTATGTATTTTTTAATTCATTGTCTAGAGTAAAAATAAAGACCCAAATACATGAAGCTTTTTTAAAAATATAAACTCAGGAAATGTTATTGGAATGGATTTCCTGGATAGAAAATCCTGGATAGATTTAAGTTTAGTTGAGTTTTTTTACCACTTTCTCATGATATATTGCAGGTAACAAAACATAAACTAATTTCTCAGCTTTCAAAAGTTAGTGTGGTCTAAGTTAATCAATGTGCATGATCTAATATAAAAAATAGTTTTGGCTATTGAAAGCAGATGGGAGAGTTCATTAAATAAGAAAGTCCAAAAGTTTTATGTGCTGTTTATCTAAACGTATGCATTTTATTCAATCTGTCTGCCATCCAACATCTACTCTCTTTCCTGGTGCTGACAATAAATTGCTAAAAGTTAATTGTTCATAAATTAAGGAATTCATCACAGGCTACTTTACCATTGGGTCAGATAACCTGTAATAAAATTTATGACAGCATGGATATTTAGTTTTAAAGCCAAGTCACGAACCGTTGTTCACTTGAAGTGGGTATTTTAACTGATGTGCTGAAATACATGAAGAGATACAGAACAAGAAATTGTCTTTCTTCCTAAATTAATCTGGCTAAATACGGTTCTAATTAGTGATGGTATAAATGATCTTTTGAGATCAAGATTTTAAAAGTTTTTGAACTTTTATCAGAGGTATGTAAAGTTTCCTTGTTGGTCTAATCGTCACTGTTAGTCAAGAGCCTCAGTGATGTAGGCTGCTGTGTTCATGTAAGATGCAGAGATGGAAGCAGGTTTTTAATTTAATTAGTTAGGAAGAAGAGGATGCTGGATATGAAAGCCTTTTCTAACAGGTTTGCATAAAATCTTTTCAAGGACATGCACATTGGCTAAACTTGGAGAGTATCAGCTCTCCAAGTATGAGCTTGGGAGAGCTCATGGGAGAGTAGAGGCAGCTCTGGGGTGCAGCCTTCAAGCTCATGCCAATTCCACACCAGAAGCAGATGTCACTTGCTAAGAAAACTGGAGTGCATGAAGAAAAAGCGAACCTTCAAGCATTGGAAGAAAGACTGGAAGACCAGTCCAGAAGGGTGCATGGTATAATTTTCACCTCCTGTCATGGGGTCATGGCTACCATGAGCTGGAATCGCATCTTATAGAATCATAGAATCATTTAG